ATGTTTAAAATAGTATCTAATCTATAATGAGCACGTAATATTAAGTAATCAGTAGTAATTTAGTAATAAATGATTATCATTCCCTCAATATAATTTTAATTTGCATTGAGTTTGAGCATCCATCCACATGTTTAAAAACCATTTGTCTATCCATACCATTTGCTCATTTTTCTATTGGCTTATTAAGCTTATGGATTTGTATGAGAAGGATATGTGTGATTTTTTTGCTTCCCTATTTTGGCTTATCTGGTTTTTCAATCTGCTGTACAAAGAACATGTATTCCTTTTATAAAGAGAAAAAATATGGATACATAATCCTGCTGGGAAAAACTCTGGAGGCCTTAGCAGAACTTTTCTTTACCCTACGCATTTTTAAATGCACCACAACCCATTCTGCTAACTCTGCCACCATCTCAAAGATCTCCTTTGTTGGGAAGCAAAAGGACCTACTTTACAGGACAAAGGGCAAACTCCTCAGTGAAGCATTCATGGCCCTGTCTGCTTTAAAGGCCCGTCTGCCACTCTGCCCTATGCTCCAGCCATTTCATTGCCCCTGACGGGTACCACACATACCTCTGCTGTTATCCATGCTGCTTCCTTCACTTGTAGTGACCTCCCCCGAATCTTTACTGGTAGTTGAACTCCTAATTTCAGGACCCAGCTGAAATGCCTCCTCTTCAGCATCTTTCCAGGCATCAATCCACCTTAGCTAATCATTCTCCCCCTGAGCTCCCATAGTGTTTCATGCTCATCCCTGTCATAGTGCTTGACACCTTGCATCATCACCATCTAAGAGTCTATCTTCTCCTCTAGACTAGGATCTGGATAGAACAAGCCATGGGTCTTAAACACCCATGCATCCCCAGCCCCTAACATAACTCCGGGCATATAGAAGTACTTAATACATGATCAGTGAATGACTTAATGATGAGGATCTGGGATATTTGTCCTGTGGCTTCAAGTAGACAGCCCAGCTCTTCATGACCTAGGAAGATACTTGTATGGTTTTTGTTTTTTTATAAATGCTGTTTCCTCTAAAGTGAATAATGATGATCCTATTGAAAGCTGTAAAGCAAGAATGGATGAACAGAGACAGAAAGGAGGTAAAGAAGGTAGAAATACTCTGATTTTGTATACAAAACTCATCTACCTGGGAGTATATGTTTTTGCTAAGGGCGAATAAAGGTAGCCCTGATGATAGCATTGCAGTAGGAAATGGGAGTGCCCTGTTAAGCACCTTCCTCACCAGAGGACTTCTATCAAATCCCCTAGGTCTACCCTCTGGACAGAGACAAGATCACTTCTTTCCCCTCTCCCAAGGCTTGGGTTTTTTTCCCAGCCATAGACCCTCTGAGGTTATGAGCACATGTTAACAAGGGCCATGTGGAGACAATTTTCTGCCTTTACTGTCTTCCTCAGTCAGGGCAATTTGCCCATCTTTTGAGTCTAAGCCCTCCCTCCTCTGGGAAGCCTTTCCTGAGAAAAGCCTACCAATTGTGATACCTCACTTGCCTGAGTCACTATATTACAATGTAAAGATATGTCTTCCAGCCAAGGACCACCAGGAACATATCTGTAGTTGAACAAGTTGGGTTTATTACTCATTGCATCAAGGGAAAACATACATCAAATGGAACCATATGGCATCTCAGTAAAAGGATGGGTGATTTGGGGAAACTTTGAAGGAAGTGAGGGTTTGCTCTAGATGCTGTCAGAAAGTAGGGGCAATTCTGATTTGTATTTCAATAAATCTTATATATAGGAAGGTGAGATTAGAACCAGAATAAAGCTGTAATTGGTAAAGTAGTGGTAGATGCTCATTTTAGCCAAGAAAGGCAAAGTTTAGTATTTTGTGACTTCATTTTGTCTCTGTTTAAATTAAATTATAAAGTGGCCTTGTTTTGTCTCTTTTTATCATGGACTCAAAGTGATCCTAATATTGGTGTTCTATGAAATTATGTCTAGTAGGAGAATGAGATGGCTTAGCTGTACCAGGCCAGCTCTAAAATTTAGGCATTGCTTTTTTCCCCTCCATTCTTACATGCAGTCTTTTCTCCCAACTAGACTATAAGACCCTTGTCACCAAACATGGTGGCACTTGCTTCTCCACACCTAGCAAGGTCTTGTATGAGACATTGCACGTAGGTGTTTAGTAAATATTTGCTGATAGACTGGTAGTCAGGAGGACAGGCTCCCCTGAGTTTCAGAGACCCTTGACTCATGGCCATTTACTTGTCTGGTTAATTAGCCTTCTGTTGTCAAGTTGCCCCTGAAGCTGCATGTACAAAAAGCATGACAGTCTCAACTTCAGATTAAAGGTCAGAAGATATTGGTTCTAGTCCTGGCTCCTCCATTTAAGTAGTATGACCTTGGGCAAGCCAGTTAGATGTTCCTTGCCTTAGTTTCCCCATTTGAAAAAGAATGGGCTTGGATTCAATATATAAAAGCCCTTTCCAGCTCTGAAATTTCAGGAGAATATGTTTTCTCTTGCATTTTTATACCTGTATAGAAAGGGCTATAGATTATATGGCCACACATCAGTAGAGAGGGGAAGAATTACTTAACAAATGGTTCCATAGGTGATCTGTTTAAAACAAAGGTCAACTGAGATTTTAGTCTTACACTATAGATTAAGGAGATAAATGTAAACATTCAGAAGACCTCACAAAAGAAAATATAAAATAAAATTTCTCTGGATGAGAAAAGATTTGAAAGCTTAAAATGAAGTTAAAACCATGAAAAAGAAAATATTGCTAGATTTTTGCAACGTGAAAATGAAAAACAACATACTTAACTAACTTAGTAGGCAAAATGAAACAGGGAAAATATTTTCAGCAAACAGTTAATATCCTAAATATAATCCTATCTTATTCTATCTATCTATCTCACTCAAATTTTGACTGAATACAGGATATGAACTCAGCTAGGGAGGAAGTACATAACTCCATTTAGCTGAAAAAAACTAATTCGTCCAAAACCAAATTAGAAGATTCTCTGAAGGACTGAGAGACTACACAGACATCCCTCCATATCCATGAGGAATTGCTTCTAGAGCCTCCTACAGATACCAAAATCTGTGAATGCTCAAATCCCTGACATAAAATGACATAGTGTTTGCATATAACCTACACTTATCCTACCATATATCATACTTTAAATCATCTCCAGATCACTTACAATACCTAATACAATGTAAATCTATGTAAGTAGTTGTTACACTATATTGTTTAGGGAATTATGACAGGAAAAAAGTCTGTACATGTTTACTACAGATGCAATTTATTTTCAAATATTTTTGGTCTGTAGTTAGTTTAATCCACATGTGTAGAAGAGGGCTGACTATACTTCATAGCTTTTCTCCAATAATTCAAGAAGAGGAAAAATTATTTTTAATGTAATAATATACATGTATAGAATTTTACAGTATAATAAGGGCATCTACCCCCATTATCTTACTTGATTCTCAGAGCAAACTTGTGAAGTAGCTAGGTAGTCATTATCCTAACTTCACAGATGATAAAACTGAGGCCTAGAAATGTATAACTTTCCCTATATCATATTAGGAAACAAATGTTAAAGCCAACTCTTGACCTCAGATTGGAGTTCTGCCTCAGTTTTGCTGTCTTTGTAGTGAGGATGTGTTTTGCAGCAACTTGGACAGAACTGGAGGCCATTATCCTAAGTGAAGTATCTCAGAAATGGAAAACCAAATAACACATGTTCTCATTTATAAGTGGGAGCTAAACTATGGTTATATAGGAACATACAGAGTGCTATAATGGATATTGAAAATTCAGAAGGATGGAGGGTGGGGGGGGGTTGAGGGACAAAAAATTACCTATTGGGTACAATGCAAACTATTCAGGTGAGGGGTACACTAAAACCCCAACTTCACCACCATAAAATTCATCCATGTAACCAAAAACCACTTGTAACCCTAAAACCACTGAAATAAAAAATTTCTACATTGCCTTCGATTCAAATCAATGATATATGACAACACCACGCTCCATTCTTGAGGTGGGACCAGAAGAAAAATAAAAGCATTGAAATTTGATTGAGTTTAGGAAAGGGAAAAAATCCCTGCCTAACTTGAGGGAGTTAATGGTATATTTTTTCTAAATGTAATAATCTGAAATATGTTACTTGAAAATTTTTTTCAAAACTAGTTTTAGTATGCCAAAACATTTTTTATAGAATGAATGTAAACTGGCAGTTGATTTCTCCAAAATTTTCAGAATTAGTTACACTTGTCGTCTTGATTAAAAGGGTCTTGAAACAAAGTCTTGGGCTGTTGCCTCAGAAGCGTCCTCGGAGGCGGCCGTGTTGTCTGTCGCCGCCGGCGCCATGCTTAGCTCTTAGGGGGCGACCTCATCCGTTATGAAAAAGTCTTTTTTTCCTTCTTGGGGGCTTGTGGTGAATTTGGCAGGGCTCATTAAACACCTTCCAACGCCTGTCTTTTACCACCCATTTAACACTCACATCTGAATGCAGCCAATTCAACTTTGCCCATTGTTTTCTAAATAGTTCTAACCAAGTTTAATTGTCAAAATTCTTCTCTCTTCTGGGGAGGTTTTACTAGTGCTTAGCTCTGAGCTGTATCACCTTTTGATGACCCTATCTCTACTTGCATGAGCCACTACCAGAGGGAAATCAGTAAACTCTGAACTCCTTGCAGTTCGCACACCCCAGGGAAACGCCACAGTGGCCCCGATACTTCTGTCAACAATCCTGACATTAAAAGGGCACGACATGCTTGGACCTAAAGGGTAGGGCGGGTCACCAGGGGCTCCTAGGTGATCCCGGATTCCGTGGAGTGCCTTGATCATTCCTTGGACGTGGGGCATGTCAATCTCCACCTTTCAGCAAATGAGCTTAGAGCTCGCTACTAGGGGACACGACCCTTAGTTGACCCTTCCAGTCCACCTCCGGTCAACGGTCACAACGGAATCTTTCCCGACTGGTCGGAGCCATCTCAGGTGCGGTCTGGGTGACGGGCCACCCCTGGGATTAGACCCCTGCCCTTCCCGTCGCGGGGCCTCCTCAGGCTCCACTATAGACTCTTGTCCCCTCAACAGCTGTCCCTCCGCCACCCCTCTGCCTTTCCTCAGGCCGCTCTACCAACGGCCTCCCCTCAGCTGCAGCCGCCTCAGAGGCCACCATCTTGGCCGTCGACGCCCCAGCGCGATCGCCGCCCACTGAGGTACCAGCTGTTGTCATGTCCGCCTCAGGGGATCGAGACGCGACCCCAGAGGGCCAGGAAGGCCCCGTGAGCCGGGCGGGAGCGTGGGCCGGAGCCGATGACGGGGTGGGCGGCCACTCCGGCCCCCACTACGGCGGCGTCATGGCGCCTGTGGTGGAGGCGGCCGGAGTCGCACGGTCCGCGGGAGGCCTCGGGGAGGAGGAGGGTGGCCAGGCGGCGGCCATGGCCGTGGCCGGAGCCCCCGAGGTCCGCATTGCCGAGGAAGATTCAGACATCGGGCCGGCGGAGGAGGAGGCAGAGGAGAATGTGCCGCTGGTGGGCCTGGATCGGGTGGTGGACGCCCGTCATTTCCCCATGGCGGGCTTTCGCTTCATGTTCCTGGATCTGGTCCACTCGCTTCTGCACCGCATCTACTACAACCACCACATCCTGACCCGGCCCCGCGGCCGCCACCTGCTGGTGGCACACCGGCGTCCGACGACCAACCGCGACGGCGGTGATGGCGGGAGCGAGGACGTCCCGGTGGTGCTTCAGGTGCCCGAGAGGCCCCGCGCGAGGGTCGCGGCCCTGGAGGGCGAGGGCCTTGGCGAAGGCTTCGGCCAGGGCCCCGACGTCCTCCCGGCGGGCGCGGCAGGCGGAGGGCCCGAGCAGCCCGGGGAGCCGGCGGGCGGGGCCGCAGCGCAGGTAGAAGCAGCCCAGGAGATCATCGTGACGGCCCACGGTGAGGAGCGGGCCTGGGGGCGACCCCGGGCGGGCGGGCGGGCTCGGCGGGTCCCGGGGATGGAGCGCGGGGGGGTGGCGGCTCTGGCGGGGTGAAGCGGGTCCCCCTCTCCCCGCCTGGGGCCCAGCGTGTGCGAGAGAACAGGACAGAAGCCCAGTTCCTAGTGACCTTTAGTGTCGCACAGGCATATTCTGCCCTCCACCACCTGTGTTTGCCGGGAGATCCGAGGTCATCCAGGCCTTTCGTGAGCCCACAGAGGAGTGTCAGGGCAGGCAGGTGTCAGGGCAGGCAGGTGTCAGGGCAGGCAGGTGTCGGGGCAGGCAGGTGTCAGGGCAGGCAGGTGTGTGTGTGGGGGGAGCCTGGGAAGACGTGGAAGGGAAGCCTGAAGGAAGGCAGCCAGCAAATGGCACACCTCATTTTCGGCTCACAGCTTTTAGAAGTGTAAAGATTCTTAGAAAGTTGATCCCCCCCAGATGATGAACCGAGACAGGAGCCTTTGGTAAAATGAAATATTCAGGGGGTTGAGGATCCAGTGAGCATCTACATACAACTTGTCTTTGAAGCAAACAACCATTTTCCCAACAAAGTTCTGACCAAAACATGTAGAATGGATCAGACCTGATGATTCTGATCTCTTCTTCTCCAAAGGACTAGAAGTACTTGGCAGCTTTGGGTGGGGGCGTTACTAGGAAAAGGGAAATAGTGTCACTGTGGAAACCATTAAGCAGCAGAAATTTGAGAACCATGGAAGTGTTGTATCAACCAGTAGGAAGGTGCCCAGCTATTCTTTTCTTAGTGCCCAGCTATTCTTATTCTTTTCTATCCTCCTACTTCTCCTGAGGGTAGAGGACTAGATGTCATTATTGTTTCTAAATTGGGCTATTTTTCCATGAATGAATTTTCCCAAAGTCTGTGTTATTTTTCACTAAAGAAGTAACTAGATATCAGTATGAAAACTGGGAAGACGAAGACACCATAGATTATTTAGGGGGGGGAGAAAAAGAAGCAGCAGAAGAAAACGAGAATGAAAACAAAGAAGAGGAAGGACCTCCAATGGACGTGGACCCCGGAGAGGTGAAGCCTACAAAATCCAGGTATCTGTGTATACCTTTGAGTATCGCTCGGCTATTCCTGGCATTTACTTCTTACTGACAGTTTGTTTTTTAATTCTTCCAGTAAATTAATTAAGAAAAAAGTTGTTCAAATTAGTTAAAAAAATTCAGTTTGACTTACTTAGGATCCTACTGGAATATTCATGTACCTAATAATATCAAAATGCAGTATTTACTTCATGGCTACTCATTTGTTCTTGTGATGTCGTTTGTCCTCTAGCTGTAAGACTATTAACAAGTGGTAAATGTATAGACCTAGTACCTGAGACCAATATTTGTGTGGAAAACAGTTACCAGAAGCAGCAGCTAACATGGCCTGGGCCATGCACTAGTTGGGCCTTCATTACTTGGCCACAGAAATACAGTCTCCCGTACTAACTAAAAGACAACACGACGCCGTTTAGAATGTGATTACTTACAAATAGCAAAAAGTTAGGATTTTCAAGTAGGACCACATTTAGTGATGAGTACCTGAATATTTGTTTAGTTGTAGATTTTTGTATTTTATGTGACAGGCAAAAGTAAAGAAACTTAGTCATAGTATGATTGTTTATCAATTAATTGATAATTAAGTCTTAAGGTATATCTTTGAGTCTGTTGAAATGATAAACTAATGTTTTTTTTTTTCTTTTTTCTTTTCCTTTTTTCCCCACATTTTCACAGCTGTGTATTTCATAATAACAGCCTCATAACCACATGGTAGATATGGAAACCCAGGGACTGGGAGGGAGGGAGTATTATTTGTGGAAGGAGCACGGGCTTTTAAGTTGGAGAGATTTATTCAAATCTCTCCAGAATGGCCTCTCAAGAAAAAAAGAAAAACAGCAAGCATTTCTGGTGTTAGGCAAGAGGGAAATAAGGTTGGTGTGATCACATGATTGAAGCCATTGGTCATCAGCACCTTGATATCCAAGGATATAAGTTACAAAAGGAAAATATATTGTTCTCTACATGTTCAGATATAACACACAAATGCAGCAGATATACAAAGGGACTGACAGTTTTCTTAGTTTTAGAAAGCACGTTAATATTCTATCATTGTTAATTTTCTCTCATTTTATTCCATAGTTTGGAGGAATAGAAAGAAAAGAATGGAGAGAGAAGAAAGAATCTGTTTTTCACTCTTTTTAGGGTGCTCATTTTTCAGAAGCCCAAGGGATTTTCATCAATACTGATTTCATTCCAAAGTTCATCACTCAAAAAGTGATACCTGAGTTTTCTCTTACCTTTTACAGATATATTTGACAGAATTTGCTCAAGTTAAAAATAAAAGTTTGTTTTAGATGAATAAGTTGAAATATAGGCAGATGTTTTCAAGATAAATAACACTCAAATCTCTGTTTTACCTCTTTTTGTTTTGGCCCACTTTAACTTTAATTGAAAGGGATCATTTGTTACCATTTGTAAGATTATTTTAAATGATTTTATTGCAGCCCAAATAATTAAAATATCAACTTTAAAACAGTTTTTGTAAAGAGAGAGATGAGTTGGAGTTCAAGCTTTTAGTTAATGCTGCGCTGTCTACTACGTTAGTCACTAGCCATGTGTGGCTACTGACCACTTGAAATGTGGCTAGTTCGATCTGGATGTGCTGTAAATGAAAACTAATGTAAAATAGCTCTGTAATAACTAATTACATGTTGAAATGATAATATGTTGGTTTAAACAAAATATGGTATTAAAATTACTTTCACTAGTTTCTTTTCTCTTTTTTAATGCGGTCACTAGAACATTTAGATTACACATGTGACTCATGTTATGTATTTATTGGCCAGCACTAATCTAGAGAATGGTTTCAAAGGAAACCTCATAGATGGCCCAGCTTGCCTGGAGGTCAAGTGGTGCTGCTGAGCCTGGGCCAGACTTTAACTTAGGGCAGTGGTTCCAAAGCGTAGTCTCTGCACCAGCAGCACCTGAGAACTTGTTAGAGATGCAAATTCTCAGGCCACAGCCCTGACCTCTGAATCAGAAACTGATTCTCTGGGGTAAGACCAGCAGTCTGTGTTTTAACAAGCCCTCCAGGGGCTTCTGATGCACACCAAGGTTTAAGAACCACACGTTTAGAGCAGTGGGGGAAGATGAGTTTCACCCACTGTCAGACCAGCCTTAATTCCCTGGCTTGGGACTGTTGCAGGTAAACTGAATGGGACAGCAAGGACTAGGCTGGGGAGAGGACTAGAACTCACAGGGGCTGAGACACAGAGGGGCAAAGGGAGGGTGATGGCAGCATAAAAATGCATAAAGGAAAAAGCTGGTTGCAGAAGGATACAAACATGATACCATGTATATGAAGTCTAAGAAAACATACAAATGATTGCCACATTTGTGGGTACATACAGAGAGACTAAAAGGCATGCATGTGAGAAATGTATACAATGTAGCATGTGTAAAGTGTGATTGGAAAGATAAACACATCATTTAGGATGGTGGTTACCTCTCAGAAAGAAAGGGGGGGATTCTATTGGAGAGGGATCACAGAGGCTTCTACTGTTTGTAATGTTGTATTTCTTAAGCTGGTTGGTGGATACATGGATGTTTATAGCAGTATTCTCTATACCTTTGTGTAGATCTGAATATTTCTAATACCCAATGAGACAAGTAAAAAGAGGAAAGGGAGACAATGGGCTTGATCTCTAGACTCTGTTTAGGGGGGGGGGGAATGTGAAGTCATATGTGACCAGAGGAGAGGATCAGAGAAGGGGAGGGGTGCAGAGGTTGAGGCTAGACAGCTTCATTTCTGCATGTAGTGAAGGCTTCCTAGGTGTTCTCTTGGTAGCACTGATACCTTCTCTTATATTCTGTGGTAGCACACCTTATATTCAAATTTATACTACCATTTTTTAAATTGAGGTGAAAGTCATAAAGCAAAATTAACAATTTTAAAGTGAACATTTCAGTAACATATAGTGCATTTATAATTTTGTGCAACCACTTCTATTTAGTTCCAAAACATTTTTGTCACCCCAAAACCCTGTATCCAGTAAGCAGTCACTTTCCCATTTTCCCCTCAACTGATGGCAACCACCAATCTGCTTTCCATCTCTATGGATTGACCTATTCTAGACATCTCACATAAACAGAATTGGATTTGTGTCAGGCTTCTTCACTTAACATAATATTTTTGAGATTCATCCACATGTTAGCATGTATCCATACTTCATTCCTCTTGAAGGCTGAATAATATTCCATTGTATGTATATACCACAGTTTGTTTATTCATTCTTCTGTTTATGGACACTTGGGTTGTTTCCACCTTGCAGTTATTGTAAATAGTGCTACTATGAACATTTGTGTCCAAGTATTTCTTTGTGTATGATTTATATATGTGTGTATTTACTCCCCCTCTCCTACTCTCTGCATTGTGAACTTCTGATTTGTTGGACATTAAAGGGTTTTATTTATCTTCCTTTCTCAAAGCCCAGGGCACTGAGTTTTCCACATAGTAAGTGCTCAATTAAAGTCTGTTAAAGTGAAGTAAACTTACCACTTCCACAACCTTCTTTTTTGCACCAGTATTAAGTTTCAACATGTACTATCACATAGTATTCCTTATGGCTAGAACCACATCGTGAGATGGAGGCCCAGGGCCCCTTGTCACCATTACCTAAACTGAAAGGGCAAGCTAATACACAGATTTTCATATAGTGTGATTTGAGGGGCTTCAAACTGGCTCTGATTCGTTAGTGTTTATGTTGCATAAACATAATATAGTACTGCTATATAGTTAATATAGTACTGCTCTTAGATTCGGGCAAGAAGGACCTCTGTCCTGAGATCCATGCTTCAGAGGCCCTACTTTGGCCCTCTTCCAGCCACACTTCTCCCTAAAGGACCAGGAACCTGTAGGAACAAGGGGTAGCTCCCTGTTAGGCCATGTTCCAGGTACCTGGGGCCCCTGAATGGTCCCAAGCCTGCTGCCAGGGCCTGAATGCTCCTCTTGGGGCTGTCCTCAAGAGGGCTGTCCTTGGAAGGGCTGACTGTCCTACCAGGATAGGTGATCCCAGGCCTAAGGGGTAGTTGTATGGCCAGAACAGGGCACGAGGCCTGGTCTAGGAGCCAGGCCAGGGCCAGGGGGAGGGAAGGAGAGGTTCAGCTCTTTTCACACCATTCAGACAGGACTTAGAGAAGTCTGAGAATTCTAAATTCTAACCTTGTCTTTCAGGTCATTTTGAAGGTGCATTTGTCATGGAAGGTCATAAACCAGTAAACAAAACATGTTGTATGTGTTGATTTAAATATGTCAAATATTTGGACATAAATATCCCCAACTGAACTCTTATTCTGAACCCTACAAATGTTACAAATGTCACAGGAAGGCTAGGCTACATATCTGGTCTATAACCCCTTTCTCTTCCTCTCTCTGTGTCACACTGTGTTACCTGAGCACAGGGGAGCCACTTGCTTCTGAAAAGGCCTTGTTCCGGCGGCCCATCTTGCTATAGGACTTGGACCCAGTCCCTGAGCCAGGCTGGAGTACAACCACCAACCACCTCTTCGCTTCTATTCACCCCCAGGTGCACCCCTCCACCCAGATGTCTTTGCTGCCACAAACCTCTTCAATACCGCTTCTGGTACCAATGCCCACCTGGAGGCCATCAGCTCGGCCAGGCACACCTGTGCGGAGGCCCTGCCTGCGCAGCACAACCACTTAAGAACATTCTGCTTCTCTGACACCCTTCAGGTCTGAGTTGTCGATAGCTGTTTGATGTCCCTGTGCAGGTCACAGACTGAGACAGACTACAGAACAGGCTTTATTCAATTTATTTGCTTTGCATATATCAAAAATCAAGAAAGTGAAAAGAAGCAAAAAACTTGTCAGAATGTGCCTTTAGGCATTTAAAAAGAAGTTAACCTCTTCATTTAAAAAGCTTTATTGTTAACTGTGGAAAAGAAATTATTAATGGAGAGTTCTCAGAGTGAGAATAACCTAATAGAAGTCCACTGTGAGAAAAGGGGGAAGGGAGGTGTAGCAGTTAATCTATCAGGATTACCTGGGTATAGGGCATCTACCTAAATGAACTGTTCACTATGGGAATACAAAGGAAATAAAATTCAGTCAATTGAAAATCTAGCATTATCAAAAAGACTAAAATACTGTATCAGGAAAAATAAATGTTTTATAGAGAAAATGTGAAATCCAGCATGCGATTGTACAGTGTCACATTATACCATCATCAGCAAAGCCCAGCACCAAGTGTTTAGCTCCAGCCCCTCACTGCCTCTCTGGGCGTTTTTGCGTGTGGCGGCACCCCACTCAGAGCACAAAGGCACAGTTAGGTGCCCAGGCCTGTGTTTCTGTTTTAGCAAAGTAGCCCCGAGGAAACAGAGGCAGACACAGGGATAACTACACTGAGAAATCACCCTGGGTCTCCTAGGAAAATGAGCTAGTTTTACTGCCCAGGCATCCAAAGGGAGCCTGCCCTTAGTGTTTGGTGGGTTTAGGGAATGGAATAAAGGGGAGGACACAGAAAGGAAGATTTAAGTCACTTCCAGTGAACCTAGATGAGAATCTCTGGTGGTCTGCACCTCGGAAAGCCAGCCAATTGAGGAACTGACTCTGGGGGTAAAGGTGCCTATCTGATCACTCCACAGCCTGGGGGTTTCACTGGAGGCAATGCTACAAAAGAAAAAGACTGCACGGCAGGATGGAAAGGAAGGAGTCAACATTTCCTGGGACTTGCCCTCTCCCCTCACAGCTGATCATCCCTCTCATCCTGAATCTTCCCCTCCCACTCTCCCTTTTTGGCCTTCCCTCTTCCCATGGTTGGGGGTGAGTGGGTCACAGAGAGGTGGGGGCTCTCCAGCCTCTAGGAATGAGGGCGGGGAAAGACTGACTTGATCACTGCAGGCTTCCAGTTAGCAAAAAGTTCATTTCTCTGTGGCTGTGGGACTGCGGTCTTACTTTGGGCTAAAACTTGATGAAGCAGAGACCTGAGGGGAAGGGACTAGAAGATGGGCCACATGGAGTTCCCCACCTGAAGGCGGGAGCCAGAGGGAAAGGGCGCTCCCTAGTGGCTCCAGACTTGCATCAGGGCGGTGAGCTTGCCATCTGCCCGATGGAAAGGACAGCTTTTGGTGTCTGTAGAACAACAGGATATGTTCAACAAGGAGTGATTTCTGGGCAATTGGAGAGGGTCATAGTAGTGTTGGACCAAGAGGCCAAACACTGATGGACCATCCGTATGAGTACAATCATGCCCAGGAAGCATTCTGTCTCACAGGGAGGTGCTCACTGCTGCCAGGCCAGCAGCAGGTTGTCATGGGGCATGTGCAAAGAGGGCACTCTGTATAAGTGCTGTGTGTTATTGTCACCCAAGGTGAAAACATTGGAGGGGGAGGCTCCCAGGGACTCAGGAAAGGTATTTGAAGGGGTAATGGGATGATTAGGGAACTGGTCTTTGCAAAGCTTGGAGCAGCAACCAAAAAGTAAAATATTTAAGCTCATAAAGCCTAAAAGACAATCCCTGGGCCATACCATCTGGACTTTTCCATTAGAAATACTTTATTTGGTCAAGAGAAATGACAACCTCTTAGTCATTCCAATAAAATGTATTTTATTCCTCCCTTTATAGCACATTTGTCAAAGGTAACAAATTTTATAAGTCTATAACAGTGCATCCAGCATCCTAGCCTTTCCCTGAGAGCAGAAACCATATAGGCCATGGTGAGGATTCAAGGAAAAATGGGATGTGATGACCCTGTGTAGACAATCAAGAGCTAGGTGGGTAGAAAAGAACACCATTAATGGCGTTCTTTGGAATAATGTTACTTTGTAGTAACATTTACTCCAAAGCCTATGTGATTCATTTAACATTTACCAAACACTTACCTTGTGACAGGCACTATGGGTTTTACAAATTAGAGGAAGACCTGGACATTCCCCCTAAAGGGCCTGTGCCTTCAGTGGAGCTACAATGTCTACACATATCCCTATAATTCAAGATAGCCTCTGATGAGGGGGGCAGGTCAGATAAAAAGAAAAGGAGGCTTCCTGGAGATGATGAATTTTGAGCCAGGCTATAACAGAGAACTTTGGGCTAGTCTTCCAGGCGTGTTCCCTGCCATCCCCAACATAAAATGGCAATCTCTTCAGGTTTTGTGGCCTTGTACCACTCCCCCTGCCCCACTCTGTCACTAATGATGAGTCTGCAAAGGGAAAGGACTCAACCACTTCTATTGACTGACAGAGGGAGTGGGGTGAGGAAAGAGAGCACATTTCCCTAATGAAATCTCAGATTCTAAGTTGTTCCAACTTCCTGGCTTAGAGAGATCAGAAGTCACAGATGAAATGAAGGACAGGCACTAACTGCATACCAGGGATAGAAAATGTGACATCTTGAACAGGTTTTTACCCTGGGAAGGCTCGGGCAAATGACTGAGGATATGGAGACTGTCCCATGGACTTCTGGGTCACATATTTACCATGAAGAAAGCTGCGATGTGAGACCTGGGAGGAGACTCCCTTGGTTTTGCTTCAGGTGTTTATTGAAGGCACATATGCTTGGTGTTTTTCTTTCTCCTTTGTTTGCCAGTGCCAAACAGTTCCCCTCCCAGGGTGCTCCAACAACCTGGTGAGACAGCTTGCTGCCACTGCAATAAAATGATATCCTCCAGCATCTGCTTAGCTCCTTCCCAATAGCTTTCTCCATGGCAAGCCCAGTGCCCAATCCTACCTTCATGCACAAAGAGGCTTCGGGTGCATACTTCTTTGCAGAAACTTCAAGATCGACAGCAGTCTTCACGTTGTGTTTCAGTCCCATTGATAAGTGCAAGAGGCAACTGGAGAGGAAATTATTGAGTATAAACTTAAGTCTTGGCAAATATATCAGAACATCAACATTGCATGTAGCTGGGAGGGCACGGCTTCCAGAGGTCTTGGCCAAATCCTCTGAGACGCACAGGAATGATGAAGGAGGAAGCACTAGGATGAGGGCCATGGAGAGTTCTGCTATCTTTGTATTTCACACATCAAACAAGCAACATGTACAAATTGCAGTTCCAAAGGATACAGCATTTGCACATTGGAAGGTACCAAATAAATTTTGTAAATGTGTAAATGCATGGTATAATGAATAAAGTTGACCAGTTTGGATATGAAGTAAAGAGGAGGAAGGACGCTGACCAGGCAAGGGGAAAGAAATGGTGGAAGAAAGTAATATCTTTCTGTCTTGGGAATCAGAAGATCTACTTTTCAGGGTAAACAGAAAACTCCTCAGTGTGGTATTCATGGCCCCAATCTGATTTCCAGGCCCATCTTCCACTCTGCCCAATGCTACAGCCATCTCCAGATAGGTACACACACACACACACACACACACACACACCACTGTTCATACTGTTTCCTTTACCTAAAGTGACCTCCCTCCTTCCCCCTCCAGCTTCACTGCCAGTTAAATTCCTAGTGATCCGTCAGGATGCAGCTGAAATGCCTTCTCTTGAGCACCTTCCCAGACACCGACCCACCTTCTTTCTCCTCTCCTCCTAACTAATCATTCTCTCTCCCCAAATCCCATGTGCTCATCCCTGTTTAAGAACTTTACATCTTGTGTCATCTTTGTCCAAATGTCTGTCTTCCATTCTAGACCATAAACTAGGGCAAGCCATGGATCTTAGGCCCCTGTGAGTCCCTAGCCCCTAACATGACTCCAGGCATATAGTAGATGCTCAATATGTGCTCAGTGAATGATTGAATGACTACTGTCTAGAGGGTTTGTCCTGTAGCTTCAAGTAGACAGCTCAGCTCTTCATTACCTGGGAAGACACTTGTGTGATGTGTGTATCTCTGTGTGTGTGTTTTGTAAGATTCTAACTCTTCTAGAACGGAATAGTGATGGTCTTATTGCAAATTGTGCAGCAAAAATCAGTGGATAATATTCCCATGCTAAAAAATGGTTCCAGACACTGACCTTACACCCTTTACAAAAAATAATTAATTAAAAATGGATCAGAAACATAAATATGAAACACAAAAACATAAAATCCCAAGAATGGAAAAATAAGCACCACATGTACTCACCATCAAATTGGTTTTAACTGATCAACACCTAAGTGCTCATATAGGAATAACATTTATCAGGTGTTGGGAAGATGGGAGAGGGAGGAGGGGATGGGTATCTACATACATAATGAGTGCGGTACACACCATCTCAGGGATGAGCACAACTGAAGCTCTGACTCGGGTGAGGCAAGGGCGATATACATAACCTAAACATTTTTACCCCCATGATACGCTGAAATAAAAAAGAAAAAGAAAATAAAAAATAAAACTGTTAGATGATAACACAGGAGAAAATCTAGATGATTTTGGGACTGGCCATGGCTTTTAGATACAACACCAAAGGCACAAGACAGGGAATAAATAATTGATGTACTTCATTAAAATTATGAAGTTTTGTTTTGTGAAAGACATCATAAAAGGAATGAGAAGACACAGAGAAAATATCTGATAAAAGACTGTAATCCAAAATATACAAAGAGATCTGAAAACTCAATAAGAAAACTACTAACAACCCAGTTAAAAAATAATGGGTAGAAAGAAAGGATGAATAAATTCTGGTGTTATATGACACAGTAGGGTGACTATAGCAAATAACAATGTAATATATACTTCAGGATAGCTGAAAGAGAAGATTTTGAATGTTATTACCATAAAGAAATGATAAATGTTAAAGTATTGATTTGATAATTACCCATTATACAATGTGTGTTGAAATATCACACTGTACCTCATAAATATGTACAATTATTATGTGTCAATTATAAATTTAAAAATTAATTTAAATTTTTAAAATGGGAAAAGATCTGAATAGACACTTCACCAAAGAAGATATACAGGTAGCAAATAAGCATATGAAAAGATGTTCAAAATCATACACCATTACATTAAAACAACAATGAAGGCCAGGCGCGGTGGCTCACACCTGTAATCCTAGCACTCTGGGAGGCTGAGGTGGGCGGATTGCCCGTGGTCAGGAGTTTGAAACCAGCCTGTGCAAGAGTGAGACCCCGTCTCTACTAAAAATAGAAAGAAATTAATTGGACAACTAAAAATATATAGAAAAAATTAGCCGGGCATGGTGGCGCATGCCTGTAGTCCCAGCTACTCGGGTGGCTGAGGCAGGAGGATCGCTCAAGCCCAGGAGTTTGAGGTTGCCATGAGCTAGGTTGATGCCACGGCACTCTAGCCTAGGCAAGAGAGTGAGACTCTGACAAAAACAAAACAAAACAAAACAACAGCAACAATGAAATACCACTACATACCTACTAGAATGGCCAAAATCCAGAACATTGACAATACCAAATGGTGGCCAGAATATGGAGCAACAGGAACTATCATTCATTATTGGTAGGAATGCAAAATGGTGCAGCACTTTGGAAGACAGTTTTTCAGTTTCTTAGAAAACTAAACATATACTTACCATATAATTGTGCTCCTTTTTTTTTTGGTGTTTCTCTCTTTTATTTAAAAACAGTGCTTCATTACCATTTGCAAAGGCTGAGGCAGTGCTCCTCCTTGTTTAGGTTTTATAAAAGCCAGCAACATGATCAATAATTTATACACATGGAGAGTAATACAAAAAAATAAGGAATAAAAGCTAAAGATCTAACTACTCCGACCTTCACAATTCCAGCTACTTGATAATAATAGGAGTAACCCAATGAATACTGTATGGTCTGAAAGCTACTATACAATATGATTCTTAACGAGAAGGGAAGGGAATAGAGACTGTCACAAAGCCCTGGGATGCTTCTCTGGAGTTAGCAGGGAAACAGGACCCTGGGCAAGCAGCTCGGGTGTCCTAGGAAGTGATTGTGGGAGGACAAGAGGGGAAGAGAGAAGGCTAGGTGGTCAGTTACACAAGCATCCCATGTGATGCCCCCATGCCCCAAAGGTACCTGTTTTGCCACGGCAATGGGAGGGGCCAGAGAAACTGCATGTTGCATGTAGGGGTGGCCCAGTCCCTGCCACAGGGAGTGGGGAGAAGAGGAGAGGTTTTGTGGCATTTTGAGCCTTGCAAAAATTTGGACTGAAAGCTCAGAGACTCAGGTAGGTCAGCCTGTCGGGGACAAGTAAACTCCACTGGCTCTCTTCTCGCTTTGCAGCCCTAGCTTACGTGTGTCAGCCCCAGGTTGCTCCAGCTATTCACAAGCAGAATTATAACACAAGAAAAAAAAATCATATCCCTTAGGGAAAAAAGAGGATCAATTCATCACTCGATATATAATACAGCCAAAAATGAGCTGCCAAAACAAGCACACACACACACAAAAATACTGTGAACAGAAAAATACAAGAAAATGACTAAGCTGGGAGTCTTGTTGGGGTATAGACATTGCTTAAAGCACTTAGTCCCCGGAAAAACCAAACCAAAAAAATTTTTTTAAAAAATTCAAAAACTCATGTACCCCCTGGGAAACTGGTGTTGGTAACAGGTGCAGGGGGTGGGGAGAGAAAAGAGAATCGCTGTTCCCTTTTTGCTCGCCAGGGTGAGTGGAGCCCTCACATCACCGGCATGTACACAGCCACCAGACACAGAGGACCAGGCCCCGATGCTGGTGGTCTCCTTGAAGGCAAGGTCTGCATTTTGGCTGAGGAGCAGTTCTCTCAGTTACCAATCCCTGCCAACCAGCACTACCATGGCTGAATTGATCTACTGTTTCCTGAGTAAACTATAACTGGCTACAGTTTCGGTAACATGGATAAAAACTCAGCTACTACAGCCAACTGCGATACTTCAGGAATCCCCTCCATCCCATCCCTCGGCTCCTCATTCCTAGTGCATCTGATGGAGGAATTTGATAACTCGCTGCAGTCTGTATGCCTTACTTTCAGAGAAAGGTGCCAGGGACTCTACTGCACTCACTAAACCAGAGGGCACACACTGGCTTAGGACACCCAGAGCCTACTTGGAAAGGGCCCTGTTTCATGCTCTAGCTCTTGGATGGCTATTGCCTGGTTGATCAGTAAAGCAAGTATGAAGGAAGTATATAGGAAAAGGAAAGGGAGGGAAGAGGCTTTTGGACAGTAACATTTCCAGAAAAAAAAAATAGTGTTTTATGCAACAGAGAATCAAGTTTCACTGTGTATACTACAAATGGTCAAACATTTTCAAGAGCATGACAAAATAAAAACACACAAATTTACGTCTGATGTTCACCTTGCCCACTATTTTTTTCCTATCTTAAAAACAGTGCAAACAGGTAACTTATGTTTTTAAAACACCACGACCCCTTCCCACCCCCCAAAGTCCCTTTCCTCCTAGTATCTGGGGGAAAAATCTGCAATTCTGCAGATGTTACTGTGCTAGATAGCTGCAAGCAGCAGAGAGCTGGCTGCTGGACTGGGTGAAAGGGGAAGGTCCATCCAACAGCTTCCCCTTTACTCTCCTTAAGTGTCTAAGCCACTTTCCAGACTGTCCCTTGGTCGGCCTTGATCTCCTGCCAGAGAGAAGGGTGGTTTATCATGCCCTTGTTGCATATCCTTTGGGTTGCTTCCATCCCTATGTGGTACTTCCCTTGCATCTGGAAGCTACATGACTAGTTATAGGATGGTAGTGATTAACCGACTTATCTGCTATATCTCTAGTGAAGCATATCCTAAACTAAGAGCAGTTCAGCCCCTGAGGAGTCGCGCACTTGAGGAAAAGCTGCTATCACTGATTTCTATGGACTAGATCTCCACTAGCTCCCCTTAAAGTAAGAGTTGAGCCCCATGCCCCTTCTTTTTCAAGGAAAAAAAATCTCTTGGCTCAATTCAGACTATGGCTGTTGGAGGATGG